CTCTGGACATTGTAAACGACCCCCAAATGTTTTAAATCCTTCCAAATAAAAAAAAAAAAAAAAAACTTAAAAGGGCTGGGGATGTAGCTCAGCTCAAAGGCCCTGGACTCAGTCCCCAGGATTGCCGCGCGCACACAGGAAAAGTGACTTAAGATGAACTTACTGCACACGCCTGGGGTTGTAGCCCTGCTTCTCCGTGCATCTCAAGGTGGGAATAAAAATACAGTAGTGCCTGCCTCTAAGGCTGTGTGAAACTTCCGGGGTGAACATGTGAAGCGCTTCCAGCAGCTGGGCAGACAGCAGTCGCCGGCTCTTCCCTCTTAGATTTGGGTGACAGAACTGAATGCCAAAATAAAATAACCTAATTTACTTTTGAATGAGTGCTGGTCATATAAGTGCGTGCCTGGTTCGTTCTTGGCCCTTCACGTCTACCTTTTTACAGGTTGCCAAGTTCTGTGTATCCAGTGTCGCTGGCGTCATGCCTCAGACCCGATCCCAGGCACAGACTACGATCAATTTTCCAAAAAAGAAGTTATCTCGGACATCGGGCAAAACTCAGAACTCTAGGAACGCTCAACTGGTGCCAGCAAATGTCCAAGCTACCCCCTCTTCTGCAAAAATTCTGCCGCTCAGCCCCAGAAAGCGCCTGGGTAAGCTTCCCATTGTAGAAGTACAAGTTTTTCACCTTTCTTTTTTCAGTAAGACACCAGTCCTTTGAGAGACCCAAGTTCAGTTAAGACTGTAGCATTCACTTCGTCTCTTCTCAGGATGGTTGCTGAATGCTTACCGAACTGCAGAGTTCAGCCACTTAGTAAGATCACTTTCTAAACTACTTAATAGGCCTGCGCTTCAGTTGTGATGTGATACTGAACGTTAGCTTTTTCAGTTTTAAATCACCTCGCAGTTATGTGATGATATTTGCCTCCATATTTGTGAGATTAATGGGTAACCTTTTAACAGTTCTCAGTCCTTTCCTTGCTTTAGCATAGTGGTGGTTTTTTGCTTTGTAGTGAGTGCTAGGGATCGAGCCCCAGACCTGGAACTTGTCAGGCAAGCAGAGTTTGTCCTACTTCTGAGCTACCCCTGGCTCAGGAGGATGTGCTCGACCCTATCTTTTTTTTGTTAATGCACGTTGGTTGTGGGATTGATGGGTTTCATTTTGGTAGACTGATAAGTGCACATAACATACGGGGCACCCCCACCCCGCCTTCCCCCTATTTTTTTTTGGTCTTTTTGAGACAGGGTTTCATTGTGCAACTCAGGCTGGCCTTCAACTTACTTTGCAGCCCAGGCTGCCCTTGAATTCACAGTGATCCTTCTGCTTCAGCCCCCTGAGTGCTAGGATTACAGGTGTGTACCACCATGCCTGGCTTGTTTTGTTTTATTTACATGCTAGGCAAACTATCCTTGAGCTACACCCCCTGACCTTTTTACATTGAGACAGGGTCATGCTAAATTGTCCAGGGTGGGCTTGAACTTGTGATCCTCCTGCCTCAACTTCCAGAGCAGCTGGGATGACAGACCTGTGCTACTGCACCCAGCTGAGAGGCGGGGTGTTTGGAGACAGTGTGTATCCCTGTGTGTTTCAGGCTGTCCTTAAACTCTGTAGTCCACGCTGGCCTCACACTCTCAGTGATCCTCCAGCCTCAGCCTCCTGAGTGCTGCGCTTATGTTTTTAATGGGAGTATCTAGGCTGTACACATCCGGAGATGTTTTTTGTTATCACAGCTGAGGATTTGCTACTGGCATAAGGGTAAACACCAGTGGGACTGGTAAGCATCTCACAGTGCACGTGACAGGTTCTCCCCAACAAAAAATGACCCAGGTCTTAACGTTGCGGAAGTTGAGGGGTGCTGTTCGCGAGGAGTCCCAGGATAAACCCATCTTGGCGAGCTCAGTGGCGCCATCTGGTGGCCGCACGTGCGCAGACGCGAAGAGGTGGGGGTCTTGGCACTGGGAGTGAGCTCGTGTTGACTTTCTGGTTCCAGGCGAGGACAACCTTTGCAACACCCCTCACCTCGCTCCCTGCTCCCCACCAAAGCAAGGCAGGAAGGAGAACGGCCCCCCTCGCTCGCGTACCCCGAAAGGACGCAGATTGGTATTTGACGATCAGCTGACAGTTAAGTCGCCCAGCAGAAGCCAAGAAGCCCGAGCTCAGCAGCACAAAACGGGCTCCTCCGTGGGGAAGGACGGGGCGAGCCCAGCCGGGTGTGAGCAGAAGCGGCTGCCGGAGAAGGAGCCCGCGCGGCTGCGGCTGTTCAAGCAGGAAGGTGCGGGGCTGTGCGCGCCGCGGGCCGGAGCCAGGCTCCGAGGGGGTCTTCTGGTCTCCCTCGCGGGCCTGATCGCTCTTTTCTCTCTGCCGCAGGCACTTGCTACCAGCAGGCCAAGCTCGTCCTCAACACAGCTGTCCCGGACCGGCTGCCGGCCAGGGAGGCGGAGATGGACGTCATCCGCGGCTTCCTGAGGGAGCACATCTGCGGGAAGAAGGGGGGCAGTCTGTACCTCTCCGGCGCCCCTGGCACGGGGAAAACTGCCTGCTTAAGCCGGGTTCTGCAGGACCTCCAGGTACGCCGAGGGCAGGGGGAGGAAGAGAGCGTGAAGCTGTCCTCACCTCGGGCCGGTTGGTTTCATCGTCCAAATCCTCCCTAGTGAAAGCGTCTCCTGGGCCCTCACCTCCGCAGCATTTCAGTTCTGGTCGCCGGCGTCCGGGGTGCAGTAACCCCCATGTTTGCGTGGCTTTTTTCCTAGAAGGAAGTGAAGGGCTTTAACACCATCATGCTGAACTGCATGTCCCTGAGGAGCGCCCAGGCCGTCTTCCCAGTGATTGCTCAGGAGATTGGTCAGGACGAAGCGCCCCGGGCATCTGGGAAGGCCGTGATGAGGAAATTAGAAAAGCAGATGACCGAAGAGAAAGGCCCCATGATGTAAGTGTCAGGGGTGTGAGGCTTCGGGGCCTGGGGCCCCAAAAGGGGACACGCCCTGTGTTTGTTATGAGAGGAGGATATGCTTCCTAGTTTTAAGTTTGAAAAAAGCCAGGCATGGTGGTGCAGGCCTGTAATCCTCGGAGGCTGAGGCAGGAGGATCCCTGCAAATCTGAGGCTAGCCTGAACTGCATAGTGAAAGCCTGTCTCAGAAAGACAAACAAATAAATAAATTTAAGGTAAAAATACCTTTAAAGTAACTGCTTGTGAGCCACATGTGCTGGCGCACTCCTGTCATGCCAGCACTCAGAGGCTGAGGCAGGAGGATCACCATGAGTTCCAGGCCAACCTGGGCTACATGGTGAGTTCAAGGCCAGCCTGAAGTACCTAGCAAGACCTTATCTCAAAAAATTAAATAAGGGCTGGGGATTTAGCTCAGTGGCACAGCGCCTGCCTGGCAAGTGCAAGGTTATGAGTTTGATTCCCGGTACCGGAAACCACCCCCCCAAAAAAAAGTAAATAAATAAAATTAAATAAGTCAGTTGTTTGAAAAGCCCTGGATTGCGCTTGGGCACAGTGAGGCTGTCATTCTCCCAGCAACTAGAGGCAAGGCAGGGTGTGACCTTTACCCTGGCCTCGCCTTCAGGCCCCGAAGGTGACTGCAGTCTAATTGTGTCTCTTCCTTCGCAGCGTGCTGGTGCTGGATGAGCTGGACCAGCTGGACAGCAGGGGCCAGGACGTGCTGTACACCCTGTTCGAGTGGCCGTGGCTCAGCAACTCCCGACTGGTGCTGATCGGTTAGTGCCCAGTGGTTAGTGCTGCAGGATGCGTCTGAAGGTTTTGGGTTTGATCTTCAGTTCATTTATTTATTTGGCTTTTTGAGACAGGATCTAGCTCAGCAGTTCGCCCTGGCCTTGAGCTCACTTTGTAGCCCAGGCTGGTCTTAAACTCGCAATGATCCTCCTGCCTCAGCCTCCAGAGTGCTGGGATTACAGGTGTGCGCCACCACGCCCGGCAAGACCCTGACTCCTAAAAAGTTGATAAAGGCTTAGGATGGAGATCAGTGGCAGAGCCCTTGCCTAGCATGTACGAGGCCTGGGTTCAATTCTCAGTACTACTAAGTAGATAAACAAGTGACAGACTCCGTGGCTGTGACTCTGGTAGTGCATGTGTTTAGCATGTGTGAGGAATCGCAGTGCCACCCTGACCCTCCCCCCAAAAAAGTGTGTGTATATGTAGTTTTTTCTTTTGTTTTGTTTTGTTTTTGAGACAGGGACTCACTATGTAGCCCAGGCTGGCCTTGAACTCACAACGATCCTCCTGCCTCAGCCTCCTCAGTGCTGGGGTCGCAGGTGTGCACTGCCACACCCAGCAGAAATATATACACACAGTATATTAAATATGTACATATGTATAAAACACTTCATTTCAGACAATAGGCTTTTTTGGCATCGGTCCTGCTTCCCAGTGACTGATTCTCACACGAACTGGAGCATTTTCTGATGACCGTGCACATCTCATCTACAGGAGTGGGGCAGAGGGAAGGGGCTCGCGTGCTGGGTTCTATCTGGAAATTTGGTTTCTCTTGCCAGGAGTTTAGCTTTTCTTCTAGGAGGATTTCCCTGACGGTGGTCTGCGTTATTTATCCCTTCCTCAGGAATTGCCAATACCCTGGACCTCACAGACAGGATTCTGCCAAGGCTCCAGGCGAAAGAGAACTGCAAGCCACGGCTGCTGAACTTCCCGCCTTACACCAGAGGTCAGATCGCCGCCATCTTAGAGGATCGGCTGCTTCAGGTGAGCACGGCCACGTCCTCCTTGAGCGCTCCTCTGAAGGATGCCTCACAAAGGCTTCTGGAATGTTGTTTTCATTGCTGTGCTACTGATACAGGTATTTCCTGTGGACCACAGTGAGAATACTTTTATGTTAATTTCAACTTGTGGCCCCATTTATTGGATGCCCCAGTGTGGTGGTGAACACCCGTCATCCCGGCATTCGGGAGGCCGAGGCAGGAGGGTCATCATGAATTTGAGGCCAGCCTGGGCTACATAGTGAGATCTATCTCAAAAAGAAAAAGACAAACTAGGAGATAGAATTACTCATGTTTCCTTAATGGCCTATATAATATAGGGCCTATGAAAAACTTTCAGTGTAACTGGTTGTTTCTTTTTTGTTTATTTTACTAGTCCTGGGTACTGAACTCCAGAACTCAGGGAGCGCTGATCTACATCCTTAGCCCTTTTTTATTTTTTTACTTTGAGACAAGTTCATGCTGAATTGCCCGGACAGGCTCTATCACGGAATAAAGAAGGAACAGGGATGTCGCTGGGTGGTGGAGTGGCTGCTTAGTGTCACACGGACTAGGTTCCATCCTCAGTACCAGCGGGAAAAGTTGTTTTTCACACTTCCACATTTGATAGTAGTGTTCCTTAAATAAATCTTACATTTCACAGACAAATGATAGACAGCCGTGCAGACCTCAGACTTGCGATCCTCCTGCCTCAGCCTCCCAAGCAGCTGGGATTAGTTTACAGGTGCATGCTAACACACCTGACAAAATTTTTCTTTTCCTAACTTAGCATTCCAGTTGATTTTATTTTTCATCCCAGAATTTCTACCACCCTCTTAACCAAATGCTTAGATGTGAACACTCTGCTGTGTGCACTCACAGATTTGCTTTGTGGTAGCTGGCCCTGGACCCAGGTCTGGCTTGTGCTGTCTGCCCAGCCCGTCCCCACCCCTCCGGGTGCTTCTGAGCAGAAGGGCTCCCCGGTACCCCAACGGGCGGCCAGTCAGGGCTCAGGGCTCGGCGTCACTGGGAGAATATTTACGCCTGGAACCTAAACTGTGAAGCGGATCGTCCAGCCCGGACCTTTCGTCTCTTCCTTAGGTGGCTGGGGACCACGTCGTGGACACCGCTGCCATCCAGTTCTGCGCCCGCAAGGTCGCCGCTGTTTCCGGGGACGTCCGGAAGGCGCTCGACGTTTGCAGGTGAGCCCTGCCGGTTGGCTACTGTTATGAGGCCGGAAGAAGAAAAGGAAAGGAGCTGCTAACTGTCTGCATAACTCAGGCCGCAGCGCGGGAGGCTCCAAGGGAAAGGAGGACTTGTGTCTCGGCGGGAGCCCTGGCCTGCGCATGTTAATGTCTGAGACATTATCAGCCCATTACCTACAGGGGGAGAAACAAATGAGACGCGCTGGCGCCCCCCGTGGTGATTATAGATTGGTTAATTACATTTGTATTAAAAAAGACTCCGTTTACTTTTCCATTAACGGGTCTCAAGCAGGTTTATTTATGGACCTGAACCATCTCTGCCCTGAGATGCCTCCGCCTCCGCCTCCTTCCCTTGGGTGGGGGCCCCTCTCCCTCCGGGGGGTGGCCCCGGGCTCCCCAGACCTCCTGCCCCGTCCCTCCTGCAGGAGGCCTGCGCTGACGGATGCGGTTCCTTCCTCGGGGTAGGGACCCGGGGTCCATTAGGACGGCGCTGGCGCTGGCGCCCGCTGCTCCACCCTCCCCTGCCCCCAGACGGAAGGTCCCGGTCTGGCTTACGGCTTCCTGTGTGCGGAGCACTTCGGAGCGGGCTGACTTGGAAAGTTTCCCCAGTCACCAGGCCCCCAGTCCCGGCCACAGCGAGGGCGGTGGCCCGCGAATGCGCGGGGAGGCCTGCGGGTTGCTCCCCGTCCGCGCCTGCGCCCGCGGTGCTGCGGGACCCGCGTCAGAGCTTCCCTCCTTCTGCCGTCGTTCGTGCCTTTCCCGTCGGTGTGGCTCCCGCACGGTGACCTACGTGGCGTCTCTGAGAGGAAGCCATGGCCTGCTGAGGCCCATGGATTATTTCAAGACAATTAAGTCCGCTTTAGCTGAGACATAACCCAGTTCTGTTTGGAGGCTTTAGGTTTTTAAAACATGCTGTTTTGAAGTTAGCAGCCCTGCTGTTGAGCTTGGTGGTTTGCTGTGGGGTTTGGTTTGGCTAAGACTAAACTAATTTTAAAACATTTTATAGGAGAGCAATTGAAATTGTGGAGTCAGATGTCAAAAGCCAAACTGTCCTCAAACCACTATCTGAATGTAAGTGTTTATCTCCTTCCTGTCTTTTTCTGTTGTTTGTTTGCTTGTGACACGGTCTCACTGTGTAGCCCAGTCTGGCGTTGAACTCCCGGTAATCCTCCTGCTTCAGCCTCCTGAGTGCTGGAATACAGGCAGCGCCGCCACTCCCGGCCTGTCTTCCTTTATGATTTGAAGCCTAACCTTTCTGAGGGAGGAGGCAGAGATGAACTGAGTGCAGTCACATCGTGTTCAAATCTTCTTTGAATCACCCCTACCCATGCTGTAATCTATGCATTGTTAGAAATGGTCCCCCTTAGACAGAGGACGAGGGGAAGCTACCGTGTGGTTGGATCCACCCCTTCAGGTGCTTCCGTCCAACACACTTGTAAGTCTCCGTGGTGAAAGCACAGTGGATAAATAAGAGACAAGGGAAAAAGTTTTGAGTTGCTGCTGGGACATGTGGAGCCTTCCTTCAGCTGTGTCCTCTCACCTGTAGCAGATGGGAAAGGCCGGGAGCTCCGTAGCTCACGGGTGTTTAATGTCCAGTGACAATCTGTGGGAACAGGGTGGTTCAGCTTAATTGGTTCTGATTCATTCCCGCGCTGGTTGAGAGTTGACACTTTTTTTTTCTTTTTCTGGTACCGGGAATTGAACTCACGACCTCGTGCTTGCCAGGCAGGCGCTGTGCCGCTGAGCTAAATCCCCAGCCCCGGTGGTTGAGAGTTAATGAGATTGTTTCTAGCATTCTAGGTCTGTATAAAACACTTTTTTTTTTTTAATTAATTTGTTAAAAGGAATTAAAATATTTCAGAAATAGACGGAATTAGGACTTGGGGGGCGGTGAGCAGCTTGTGGCCTCCTGCAGCGTCTGTGGTTTCCTCTTCTTCCACCCCTGGAGGACCTCCCCCGCCCCCCTCCTCCTGTCTGTGGCATTTAGGCACATCCGTGCCCTCTGACACACACATTGCTAAAGGTTACTGTGACTTGCTGGGCTCTTTTTTTTGTTGGATTTTTTTTTTTTTTTTTAAGGCAGTGACTCCCTGTGCAGTTCAGGCTGAACTTGAGCTCACTTTGTAGTTCAGGCTGGTCTCAAACTCATAAGGATCCTCCTGCCTCAGCCTCCTGAGTGCTGGGATTACAGGTGGGCACCACCACACCCTGCTCTTTTTTTTGTTTTTTTGAGGCAGGGTCTTGCTATGCAGTTCAAGCTGGCCTTGAACTCACTATGGAGCCCAGGCGATCCTCCTGTCTCAGCCTCCAGAGTGCTGGGATCACAGGCGTGTACCAGCATTTACTGGGCTTATCTTTTGCATTCTGGTGTGTGTGTGAGACTGGCTGTTGATGGCTCCAGAGACCCACAAAGGACGTTGACTTCAGCTACATAGAAGAGGGAACTTTCTAATGTGCAGGACTCCCTGGGCTTCTTTGAGACACAGTCAGTTCCCCGGTATTGAAGATGTTCACAGGAAAGCTTGTCGGGCTTGCTGGAGTGGGGGCCTGGCCGGCCGGCTGTCAGATGGGGAGTGGGAATAGCTCTAAATTCCTTTCGGTGTTCAGATTCTGTGACTGGATCTCGGGGCGCTGGGTTCTCCCCTCGCCGTCCTCAGCATCCCATCGGCGGTGCTGGGACGGAGCACAGAGCCTGCGCGGCCTGGGAAGTAACTTCAGGCCCGGGTTGCCGAGGGCGGCTCTGCCTTGTGGTTGGAGTTCGGGACAGGGCGGCCCTGGTCCCTGAAGCTCCTGGCAGCCCCCAGCCTCCGGGCCTGGGGCGCCGCGATCGGCCGGGATGTCCAGTGACCTTTTCTCAAGTGTTGCTGTCCTCCAGCTCAACTTGGGTGAGCAAACCAAACCTCAAGGTCGTTTTGGAGCCACCTAGGGCTGGGCAGGGTGAGCTCGGCTGGCTCACCTCCGCCAGGTGCCGGTCACTGTCCAGCTGCGGCCCCTTCCTTCCAGGGCCCGTCTTCGTCACCGCTGAGGCCTGGGGAGCTTCCGAGGCCCCCACCCACAGGCCCCTCTCTGGTCTTTCCTGTTTCACAAGGTGGATTTTCATCCCCCAGCAGTGCTTTGCAGAGCCAGTAGCTTACGATCCTGCCCGGGGAAAGAACAGCCCCGCCGTCCCAGGCCCCCCACGTCATTTTGGCTTGGCCGTCGTGCGACCCCACTTGGACTTCCTGTGGCGGAGCCTTTTACGGTCTGACGGCCTGTCTCTCCCGCCCCCAGGCCAGTCACCCTCGGAGCGCGTGCTTCCCAAGCGCGTGGGCCTCGCTCACGTAGCCCGAGTGGTTTCCGAAGTGGACGGGAGCAGGATGGCTCCGAGCAGGGAGGGAGCCCAGGACTCCTTCCCGCTGCAGCAGAAGATCTTGGTCTGCGCGTTGCTGCTCCTGACCAGGCAGCTGAAGGTCAGAGAGGTCACGCTGGGAAAGGTGAGTCTGATCTCTGCAGGTGGAGGCCTGGAGGCAAGGACCGGCTCTGTCTGAGGTGTGGATCTTTTCAAAAGGCCTAGCACCCCAGGCGAGAGGAATCGCAAACGAGTCCGGGCAGTAGGAGTGCACGCTAGCATCATAGAAGAGGCGGCTATGTGTGCCTTGGGTTGTGGCTAAGAGTTAACCATTGCAAAAGCACCTGCCTGGCAAGTGCAAGGTCGTGAGTTCGGTTCCCGGTACCAGAGAAAAACCAAAAAAAAAAAAAAAAAAAAAAAAGAGTTAACCATTAACCATCTCTCTGTCCGTAATGTTCCGGCATCTCCCTATGAGGGGATCGCACAAAGCCGCTTCCCTGTACTACAGCATAGGTTTGAGGAGCATCTGTGGGATGTGCCATTCAAGGCTTTCATTGAAAAGGGACCGCCAGGCGTGGTGGCGCAAGCCTGTAATCCCGGCACTCGAGAAGCTGAGGCGGGAGGATCACTGTGAGTTCGAGGCCAGCCTGGGCTACATAGTGAGTTTAAGGCCAGGCTAAACTGTATAGCAAGACCCTGTTTCCAAAAAACAAGCAAAAAATTATAAATAAATTTTAAAAAATAAGGGCCAGGGATACAGCTCAGTGGCTTAGCACCTGCCTGGCAAGCACAAGGACCTGAGTTCAATTCCCAGCACCAAAAAAAAATAAAAAATAAAAAAAGATTATAAGGCAATGAGAGATGTAACTTTTAAGCAACGTTTGTTCCCCCATTTCCCCACAGTTATACGAAGCCTACAGTAACGTCTGTCGCAAGCAGCAGGTGGCAGCTGTGGACCAATCAGAGTGTTTGTCCCTTGCCGGGCTCTTGGAATCCAGGGGCATCGTAGGATTAAAGAAAAACAAGGAGACACGCTTCACAAAGGTATGACTGACTGCTTGCTTCTTTACCCGTTGTTTTTGAGAGAGCTCCTCCTTTGCTACACTACAGATGAAAGGGTGAGCACAGTTAAACCGGGCACAGTGGCGCAGGCCTGGGATCCCAGGGGGTTGAGGCAGGAGGATCACAAATGTGAATTCTGCCTGGGCAGCTTAGCAAGACCCTGTCTCAAAATTAAATTAAAATCAAAAGAAAAATGAAAGGGGCTGTTGATGTAGCTCAGGGGTGGAGGACCCTAGGACAGCAGCGGCAAACCTGCGGCCCGCGGCCGTAGCGGGCTCTTTGTATCATGGAAAGCTCCGGAAGGTTTGCCATTACGGCCCTAGGTATTCTCCCAGTTCTGCAACCGATAAAATAAAAAATAAAGAGCACAGTGAGGGAAGCGGTCTGTTTTTCTGTCAGGGATCAGATGGGAGCTGATGGGCCGATGGAAACGGGAGTCTGGTAGGCGGCAGGATGGCCGCGGTTTTGCTTCTGTGAGCGCACGTCCTGAAAGGTCCGTCTCTTTGCAGGTGTCTTTGAAGACAGAAGAGCAGGAGATAGAGCACGCTCTGAAAGACAAAGCTCTCGTTGGAAATATCTTAGCCACTGGCTTGCCTTAAGCTCTTCCGTGTTCCCACCCGGAGGTGCTCAGCTGGCCTCGGAGAGCTGTGGGGTCTTAGTCTGAACACTTAACATTCTAGGGTCTGAAAACAAACGGGACCCTTTTTACTTGAATTTTAATCATAAATATCAGCGCAGAGGAATATCCTTGGGTCTTTTTCCTTTTACCCATAGATACGTGATAGATAAATGGCGTTCTCTACCTTTCCTGCTTGAGTGTCTTTAACCAGTATTTTTACAAGTGTATGAATTCGTGTTGTGCAGTGTGTGTATATTTACCTCTGAGTTCCCTTGGACAGTGTATAATTTGTGAAGGACTGCGAGCTCAGGGTAAGAAGGAGGAGACAGAGGGATCCAGAAAAATAAGCTCATCCACGTGGAGATCGGAGGGGCCCTTGGGCCAAGGAATTTCTTTTTGGGGTGTGCTCGGTGACCACGGCCGGTGACCACGCTGCGGCATTCTAAGGACTTGCTGAGTTTAGGGGGTACTCCTACCATTGTGGGGTGGGGGGGAAAAGGTAACTACGTATTGTGAATATATTTATTTTCAGATTTCGTCCTTTGTCTTTGTAAGCGGTCGCGTCTTCCAAGCGCTCAGGGCAGCGTGATGCCCGCAGCCCACTGAAGCCAGGGTCGGGCTGGCTCCGCCCAGCCTCGCGCAGTCCTCTGAGCGCGCAATTCTCCAGCCTTATTAAATAAATTGATCCATGTGCTCACTCCGGATCCCTCTTTTCGGGGACTTGGTTTCCAGCAGTACGAGTGGCGCTTTGTGGCAGGGACACCAGGGGGCACCATGGCAACGCTGTTTGGGAAGTGCAGGCTGGGGTGGGGTACCCTGGAGAGATGGGGCGGAGGGCCTTGAGATTGGGTGGTTTGGGAGGCGACCGGAGCGGTCTTTCAGCTCACGCTTTGGCCCGAGTGACACGAACCTGAGGAGCTGGGGTCCCGCGCCGTGCCCCTCTCTGCCCACCACCGCCACCGCCTTTCTCCTGCGGCCCAGCGCGGGAACCTGATCGGGGCAACAATCGCCTCCGCCCCGCCTCAGCCTGCCCCCTGGACCCTGTAAAGCGATCTGCACGGCAGCAGGTGGTGTGGACAGGGCCAGGAGAGCTCTGAAAGGAACACCAGGCTGTGGGAGCGACTGCCGCCTCCCTCTGGTTAGAGCACACACGTGTGCACATGCATGCATGCACGCACGCACGCGCGCGTGGCCCTCTGGGTTCCCGGCCCCGTGCCAGAGGGGTCAGAGAGCACCCGGGGCCGGACGGGTTAACCGAGGAGCACAGGAGCTGTCCGGAGGCTGAGGGAAAGCGGGCTGACTGGGATTGGGAGCAGATGCGAGGCTGGATTTAAGTTACATTTTATTGGATGCTGCGGCCTTAAGAGATGGGGCTGCCTTACAGTTTGTTTCCACACTGTGGGCAGCTGCTGTCTGCTCTGCAGATCTTGTCCAGGAAGGAGCAAGCGGCAGCCCGCCTCGCCACGCTTGGGGCCTGGCGCCTTCCCCTCCACTGCAGGCTCGCGTGAGTCTCGAACCAGGCTGGACATGGCTGGACTCCGGCCGGCGCGGCAGCTGCGGCGCCTCCCTGGCCAGGATCACATTGGGGGATTCAAAGGGGCCACGTTGCTTCCCCTCCGCCTCCTGTCTCCCCGTGCCCTGCTACTGGAAAGGGGCTTCCTGGGTGCTGGCTCGCTGGTTTCCTTTCTGCACTTACCCACCGCCAATTTCTAGGCCACTGCTACTCTTAAGGCTCCAGCAGCTGGTTCCTCTGATGTGTGAAGCAGACCGAGTCCCCGCTTGGCTCCCGCTGCCCTTTAGGGAGCAAAAGCTGATGGAGGTTGTCAGTGAAGTCTTAAGTGTAATTCAGACACCGGGGGAGAGGAAGACGAGGCCCCCTTGCTGAAGCCGAGAACGGTCGGGGTTCAGAGGGCTGGGACAGGCCCACGGTTCGCAGCTTTTGCCGGGACCTCGGCCGCTGCACACACATAGGATGGCGGCAGAGGTGCTGACCTACATTCCTTCATAGGTGGTGGCTGTGTCTTGGTTTATCTTTTTTAAGTAGACTGTGCTTCCAGGGAGTGTTGAGTGTTATGGGCCATGGAAAGAACTCAGACAATGAAGTTGATTTTAGCTTGAACACTTAGCTGCCCAACATAGACCATTACAGGAAGTGCCACTGTGGGAGGCTGAGGCAGGAGGACTTTCGAGTGCAAGTCCAGCCTGCACTGGGCTTAGCAAGACTGAAAACAAATAAAATGGACTGGGATGTAGCTCAGTGCGGAGGCCTTGCTTTCCGTCCCAGTACCTTCCTTCTAAAAAAAAAATCAGGAAGTGGAAATATGATATGACTTAGGCCTGGGCCATGTTTTCAAAAATCTACTCAGAGCTGTTCCCTAAGTACTGTGTGAGCAAACAGAGCGCAGGCTGAGGTTTCCCCCAGCATCCTGAAGATCGAACCCAGGTCTTCCTGCACACCACGCTTCCTACCACCCCCAAGATTAAGATTCTCTGCACATTTGTGTCTGTCTCCAGCGTTAGGGTACCTGGTGAGTACTGGATAATTGTGAGTGAGCAGGTACATGGACCAAGCAAGCAGCTGCCTCTGGCCGTCTTGCAGAGAGTGGGGGCAAGGCCGCTGGTGTCTGCGCTGACGGGGAGCAGCCTTCCCAAGCAGGGGTGCTGGCCTCACAAGCCACCCGATCAGCCCCTCTGAAGTAGCTGTGTCCTGTCTCGGCATCTCCACGTTGCTTTGGAGAAGCTTTGCCTTTGGGGTGCACGCTTGGCCTCTGGGCTGGAACGGGGCATCCCTAGAGGTGGCCTAAAACCACGCCAGCCCTGGTTGGCACGGGCTGGGGAGGACCCCACCTTGGGTTTACTGCCCCTTAGCTTCGGGGCCAAGTCGTGGTCTCCTTTCCTGCCCAAGAGGCGTTCTCTGGGGCTGTCACCGGAGGCGCATTCCACAGGGCAGAGGGTGCAAGCGCCCCGCAGGCTCCCCTGGATTCCCAGCCCCGGCCCCAAGGCACCTGCAGGAGGAGCTAATTGGGGAACGGCTGAAGACTGGCAAAGGAGCGAGGAGGCAGCTCCGTTTTTGAAAAAGCCCTAATTGAGTTCTGAATCAGTCCCGCTCCCTTTGATCCCGCCTCTGTTTCCCACACTGCCCGAAAGAGCTGGATCAGCACTTTGCAAGCAGGGTGCGCCCGCTGCTCCCCACCCCGCCCCCTCCTGACGCGCTGCGCTGCCACCATGCACCGCTGTCTCCTTCGGTTAAGATAATGAAGATGCTGAGAGATAAAATGTGTATTTAATAAGGTGGGGGCGGGGCGGCGAGGGGCAGCCAGGGCCCTCCTCGTTTGGGGCCGGGCCAAGAGGAGCTGAGAGCGAGCTGGAGTAAGACTTGGCCCCAGGGGGTGGGGGTTTTCTGGGCCTCCATCCAGCTGACTTCACTCCCGCTGTTTGCCCTAAATTCCCCCACCTCCAGCGCTCACCCCCACACCCCTCGGCGCCCTCCCTTCCTCCCTGCTCCCAACGGGAGAGCGGGGAGCCGCGCTCGGCTTTCCGTGCGGCCGGACTTTCTCCGCAGCCGGTGACCTGGTCTTCGGCACGGTGGCCCCAGCCAGTGCCAGCTGCAAGGTCGGGCCAGGGCGCCCCCACACCCCCACAGCCTGGGCCCGGAGAAGCTGCGGGTTCCCGGTGGGGGGTGCGAGAGCTGCAGTTAATGAAGACCAGCTGCCCGTCTGGGTTCTGCCTCCAGCGCGCTGGAGCCCGGCCTGCGGTGGTGGTTAGGGCTGGGGGGGTGACCTCCATCCCTGGGCACAAGGATATCCTGCGGCGGCCGGGCCAGCGCAGCTCGGCGGAGCTCCGGCTCTTCCTCAGTTTACCAGCGCATGGTCTCCTCCATCCTCGCGCCCTCCCCAAATAGCATGCAGCCCCCTTGGGCTTTGTAGCGGCAGCGGGGGCCCAGCTGAGATCTGAGGATCTCCAAGCCCTTCTGTAAACACTCATTAACTGCCTGGGAAGAACCCGGAGCCCTGTTTAACAGCTGGGAGAGAACCCAGGCACGTTAGGATGAGCGGCTTGACCTAAGCTCACCCCGAGGCTCCACCCCGGCCCCGGTCCTCGCTGTCTAGGACCCCGGCCTGCTTTTTCCTGCTGCACAGAAAGGGCAGGGCCGTGGCCAGTGCCCTCACCCTTCCCTCAGGTCTGTCCCGGACTTCGCCCAGCCCTTCGCCCCATGACATTTGCCCTGCTCTCCTCCGAGAGAGAATGTGCAACTCTCCTTGCAAAATGTTCTGCAGCCAGCCTGGCCTGGTGGCACAGGTCTATGATCCCAGCACTCTGGGAGGCTGAAGCAGGACGATCGTGCATTCAAGGCCCAACCTGGGCAACTGAGTGACATAGTGAGACCGAGTCCTGCCCCCAAAAAAGGGTGTGAGGAAGACATAGCACAGTGCAAAGGCCCCAGGCTCAACCCCCGCTTATTCTCGGGCCAGGACTGTGCAGACTTTAACCCACTTTTCCCTTCCCCACCTGCCCCCCACTCCTGAAGGCTCCCTTCTGAGCCTCAGAGAAAGCTGGTTTCCTAAACCGAACCAGTGACCTTGAAGTTGATCCATTGTGTCAGGTTCCTCAAGGGCTTATGTAGCATTTGTGAGACCTTGGGGTCAACTACCCTGCACCTTAAAAAGCCCTCTTTCCACTGGGTGTGGTGGTGCACACTTGTAATCCCAGCCCTCAGGAGGCCGAGGCAGGAGGATTACCAGGAGTTTGAGATCAGCCTGGGCTACATAGTGAATTCAAGGCCAGCCTGAACTACACAGTGGTACCCTATCTCAAAACCCAAAACCAAGCAAAGCCCCTCTACCCCCTATATGTACTCAAAATAATCCCTGGGAAAACACTTGCTAACTTCTTGTTCTGTTCATACAGGCTCAGGACCCTACTGAGAGCTGGGTCAGGACGCTAACAACCTCTGGGTTCTGCATCCTGTCTACGGGCAATTGCCATTTCTAGGTTTTGTTTTGTTTTGTTTTTGATTTGCTTTTTTGGTGGTGTTTTTTTTTTTTTTTTTTTTTCGAGACAGGGTCTTGCTATTGGTCCAGGCTGGCCACAAACTTGTTATCCTCCTGCCTCAGCCTCCTCGAGTGCCAGGATTACAACAGGCCTGGCCATTTCTAGTTATGGATGTAGGGGCTGGGGATTTAGCTCAGCGGCAAAGTGCCTGCCTGGCAAGTGCAAGGTCGTGAGTTCGATTCCTGGTACTGGAAGAAAAACAAACCAAAACAAACTAGTTATGGATGTAATCCAGAGCCTTTTCCGGTTGTCTCCCTTGTCCCTTAGCGCATCTGCTGGGAGCCTCAGCTGTATATCTGCATACCCTACACACAGCAAACATACTTGCCTCAGCCTAAGGAGACAGGACTCCCACTTCTGGCACCATCTAAGTCATCCTGCCCTCCTCCCTTGATAAAATCAAGCCCCCCCATGTCCTCCTGGGTACCGAACAGTGGGGCGAGCAGGTGGACCGCTGTAGTCTGAGGACAAGGACAAAGGAGAGTTCCTGTGCCTGGATGCTCAGGGCCGAAAGGGGTCCGCAGGCGTGGAGGTGGGAAGACCTCAGCCTCACCTCTGGCCCCAGCCCCACTCTCTCTGCAGCCCTCAGGCGGGAAGCAATGTCTCTGTCGCGTCCTGTCTTCAGCCCGAGTCCTTCATAGGTTGCGTCCGAGCCCGGGGATCCTTCCGGGGTCCTATTTGGTCCTCGGCCCAGGGCCCACCGTCTCCCCGGCAGGCTTAGCGCTGCACCCGCTGACCTAGTCAGGGCAGGCGGAGGGCGGGGAGAGCCTACCGCGTGGCCGGTGGACGTTAGGACCCAACGGGAGCCTGTGCTCCTGCAGCAGCCTAAGCAGAAGCGGGGGGAACCCTGAATCGAGCTGCGAGGGCTTCCCCGGTCCTCCCGGGAACCCCGTCGCCCCCCGCCAGCGCGCACCTGAGCAGGTAGGCCCGCGCGCCCCTCCCGATGCCCCCGGGGCTGCCCTGCGCCCGGCTCCCTGGGCTGCCGTCTGCCGCCAGCTCCTCCCCGGCGCAGCTTTGCCCACGCCTCCCCCCACCGCTCCCCG